CTCTCATCTGCTCCAGAGGCAGGCAAACTGCAGAGCTGAAATAAGAACGGAATTGAAATAACGCGCGTTTGCTTGTGCACCCGGGGGCTTCCCTGCGGGGGTAGTTTCAACAAGGGTATCCACTTTTTTTTTTTTTTTTTTTTTTTTCCCCCTACTAAAACCCCGGCAGGGTTGGTTTTCTTTGGGGGGGGGGGGGGGGGGGGACGCTCCGGTCGGTTCCCCCACCCCCACGGCTGTTATTTGTACACACCCTCCCCCCCAGGTTAGGCTGCCGCGTCTGTTTCTTTGGGTCCATTAAATCCCCTTCCTCCACCCGAGATGGCTCAACTTCTTCCCCCTGCTCTTGAAAAGAGTAACACTTTGGAAAGGGGGAAAAAAAAAAAAAAAAAAAAAAAGACAAGAAATGGATATAGGTTTTGTAAGTGTTAAATAACTTTCTCAGCGTGTATTAAAGGAAGATTGTATTTTATCAACAGCTGATTGATGCAGCCGTGTGATCCTGTCGGTTTGTCTATAGTATCATATTTATTTAACCTGCTGAGGGACCGTGTTCAGGGGCAGCCTGCTCATGCTGACAAGATCATGCACATTACACACTACCCCAGGTATTTTGATTGATTGTTCCCACCCCAAAGCCTTTGGTTCATAATTTAGCCCAGCAGGCTCTGCATCACAGGCTAGGTTTCAAAAAAAAAAAAAAAAAAAAATATCCTGTAAGAGATTTCAATGAACAACTACGGCCAAGAAACCTTTCTCCACCTGCAACCCCCAAATATTTTAAATACCTCCTGAGATGGTTCAGTGTGGGTAATTACAGGGCACACAACCTTTATTTACTCTGGTTCCCCAAGTGTAATCAGATTATTCATTTTGATTTGTGGCTGGGCTAACATTTCCTTAACTGGGGGGTGGCAAGGTGGTTGGGTGTCGTGGTGAAAATGTCAAATAGTGTGGGCTTCTCTGTTGCTTTTCCTTTGCTCTCTTTCAATAACAGCTATGGGATGTGGAAAGCAGGAGACAAAATGGTTTGGTTTTTTATTTTTGTTTTTTTTTTTTACAGTTTTCTGAGGTTGCACTGGGAATTGGTTCCTAACCTCCTCTGGCAGCAGACTGGATTGTTACTAATATTCAATGGCCCCAGACCCCCAACCCCGTGGGTGAGAAAACGATTCTCCCCCCCCCCCCCCAAGAACAAACTGTCCATACATACACTTTGATACTATTTGGGTCTTTTCAAGCAAATGATCCTAATGATCTGGGCACATCCTAGTGAAATTAGCACTACCTATTGACGGACCAGTGAATAATTACTTCCTATGAGATTTCTGGAGGAAAGGAGCTTTCTCCTTGACTTTCGAAAAACTAACACCAACAGAGTACGCATGGGTATGGGTACTAATCTGTGCTTGAAAAAATAGTGTTTCCAAAAATGGAACACGTTTTTTGGTGCATCTTCTTGGGTTTCTATTAATCGGGTTAGCAACGGGTGTGTGTGTGTGTGTGTGTGTGTGTGTGTGTGTGTGTGTGTGTAAAAGTAAAGTTTCAAATGTGTGTTCTTTTCTCAGTAATAGACATACTGTTGTTTATTGTGCTTGCTACTTTTATGTTTGTCCTTCAGAAACTCTTGGGATGACTCATGAAGCCTGGAAAGGCCACCTTAGCACTGTTACGAATCTTTTTGTCGATCAGAGTTTCATTTTGTCATTCTAGATCATATGGGAAGGTCATTATCAGTGTGGTTAATTGCATAAGTATATAATGCTACACCGGAGGGTGAAGATTCATAGCATTTTAAAAAGATGTTAAGTGCATAATTGCCCCCCAAATAAGTCAGCGCATCTAAAGTAATTATTTTTTCTCGTCAGGTCTTAGGTTAACATTGCAGGAAAAATTCTTGTATATCCCAGTGATAGCAACAATGGCAACATTTATAATTAAAACTTTCTTACTCTCTCATCCATTCATCTACTCATTCATTCATTTCCCTCCCTTTCGTGCTGTTATTCACAAAAATGCATCTTTTGGCTTGATTGTGTACTTTATAATGATGGTAAAGAGATTAATCAAATGTGATCTCTACTTTCCATTCCAGCGAACATTTCCTTTTAATTGTCCCTTAGACTTGGGGCAGGTGTGGGTGACTCTGATGGCATACCTTCTTTGCTGACAATACTAAGTTCAGCAATTTTTCTTAATCCTTTGATGTTGCTATTTATCCCTAGATGGTGTTCAGTGACAAGACCCAAACTATTTGCAAAACTCCAGGACATGCGTCTTTCTGCGGACAAAAACAGACATTATCAAAAGTAAGTACAGACACAACATCCACAGAGACAGAGAAAAGGGTAGGCTGACAAAGGAAATATTTACTTATGACAGAGTGTCAGTCAGGGGGCCCTAAGGTAGCAAATGAAGCAAGATGAAGGAAAGGCCAATTTGTGGTGAACGAAATCTCCACATTTTAATGAGGTGAGCTAAGGAGTTCTGAGCTACGCTGTAAATCAATTTGCAGCCTTTTCCCAAACCGTTTTTACAAATCATTGGTTTGCATTGAAAATAAACCTTTTTTTAAAGCCATCCACCACCAGGTTTCTTTAATAGAATGCAATGTATATTACCCCCAATAATGACAAAAAAAAAAATACTTTCCTATATTGTCTCCGGGGGAGACCAATAAATTGGCTGGGCTCCCATTCTTTTCAAGGGGCACCTTTGCCACGTTTAATACATGCTCACGCACAGACACGTACGCGACTGAACTTGTTTGAAGTTTGACCACTTCTTAGCTCTGCAGCCCTGGGCACACGTTACTACAATTCTCTGCCCCTCAGTTTCCTCATCTAGTGAAATTATAATAGTGCCTGCCTCCGGGGTTGCTGTAAGGAGCGAGTTAAGACACGACACTCCTAAGGCAGCGTCCGCCGTGTATCTATTACTAGGCTGGCATCTGCTAACATCGCAGACCACCGTTTGCATCAGTGTCGCGTTGTGTTATTGACAACAGTGCTTTCTGTTTTGTTAACGTTTATTTTTGAGAAAGAGAGAGACAGAGCTTGAACAGGGGAGGGTCTCAGAGAGAGAGGGACACACAGAATCTGAAACAGGCTCCAGGCTCTGAGCCATCAGCACAGAGCCTGATGCCGGGCTCGAACTCATGAACCGCGAGATCATGACCTGAGCCGAAGTCGGACGCTTAACCGACTGAGCCACCCAGGCGCCCCAACAGTGCTTTTATTTACGGTCACCCACAGAGTTGCGATTAGACTCCAAAACTTCAACTCTGTATTTGAAGTGGTTCTCTGAAGGCGCTGAACTGCAGTGCAAAACCGTCCCTGGGGCCGAGCGATGACTGTCTTGCTCCCAGTCTCCCGAGCCCCAGTAAGTCGCCTTCCTTGTAAATGTCAAGCTGAAACGCTGCTGCAGGGTGTGGTTGGCACGCCACTGAATGGTTTGTAGGCTGAGTCACAGGAAAATTCTGCTAAGAGCCTCTAAAAAGGCAAACAGCTCTGTGACTTCTTAGCCCCTGGTTTGGTAAGGATGCCAGCACACTGCCTCCCCATTTTGCCTTATGTACTTAAGTCTTTCGTGGCAAATTTTAACAGCCTCTGGATTTTATGATATTCTTTTCGTATGTGCTAGGAATTATGTTCTATGAAGCTGTTCAAGTTTAAATGTATTAAAGAAATTTTTTTTTAAAGTTTAGGGGCACAGAGGCGCCTGGGTGGCTCAGTCGGTTAAGTGTCCGACTTCGGCTCAGATCATGATCTCATGGTACGTGAGTTCGAGCCCCGTGTCGGGCTGTGTGCTGACAGCTCAGAGCCTGGAGCCTGCTTGGGATTCTGTGTCTCCCTCTCTCTCTGCCCCTCCCCTGCTCATGCTCTGCCTCTCTCTGTCTCAAAAATAAATAAAACATTAAAAAAATTTTTTTTAAAGTTTAGGGGCACCTGGGTGGCTCAATCAATTAAGCATCAACTCTTGGTTTCAGCTCGGGTCATGATCTCACGGTTCCTGAGTTCGAGCCCTGAGTCCGGCTCAGTGCTGACGGCATGGAACCTGCTTGGGATTCTCTCTCTCCCTCTCCCTCTGCCCCTCTCCTGCTGGCACTGTCTCTGTCTCTCTCAAAATAAACAAGTGCACTTAAAAAAAATAAAGGTTTAAAAAAGAATTTTTTAAGTGTGTTTATTTTGAGAGAGAGAAAGACAGAGAGTAAGCAGGGGAGAGGCAGAAGGAGAGAGAGAGAGTGACAGAGAGAGAGAGAGAGAGAGAGAGAATCCCAAGCAGGCTGCATGCTGTCAGCACAGAGCCTGACTCAGGGCTCGAACTCAGAAACCGTGAGATCATGACCTCAGCTGAAACCAAGAGTCAGACCCTTAACTGATCGAGCCACCCAGGGGCCCCAAGTTTAAATTTCTTTTTTAACAGAAAAGGATGTTTCCTCATTTCCTCATGTTAGGATATTGATTAAAAACTAGAATCTTGGTATGAAAAGGAATAGAGTTAGATAATACACTTTTTTCAGGGTTTGATTTTTTTTCACATGTTGACTTTTGGAATTAAGACAAAGCCAGTTTCGACTGGGAATGAAATCAGCATTGCCTCAACAATGGGATATCTTTCTTTATGTTTTTGAGCTGATCTAGTGCCATTCCAGATAGTAACTCAAGATCTGGCCTAAATGGAACCAGAGTCCTTGAATGGCAGCCGACAGCACCCGTCCCCAGTCCCTCCAAGTCACCCTCCAAGGATACAGAATATGACTTGCTTTTGTTACAATTAGATCGCAGAACCTCAGGTAGGAATAGTTTTCATTTTATGTCACTTCTCAAACCAAATCTTGCAAACACGTCCAGACGGGAGCTGGTGTTTTCTTACACATGTTAACATTGACCTTGCCACCTAGAATCAACTCCCCCCCCATCTGTTTAAATCAGCATTCCATATCCCTTTCACATCTTTTCTTTTCCACCTGCTCCATGGGGTAAGCCAGTCTGTTTCCACTCTGCACATACGCCAAAAATCTGTAGAGTCCCAAGAAGTTGGACTTTCAGTGACTTTAAGATGCAGAAAAACAGGCATGCAATTTGCTCATTGGCTGACATATTTCCTTCTAAATACCTGCCATTGCTGTGTTTGATAGGAAAAGTGCATCTCAGATATTTCAAGTCGGTTTCAGTGTTAAGTATTTTCTCACCTTTTAATTAATTCACTCTTAGAGCAGGGAAAGGTAACCTCAGTGAAATATACATAACTTCCTGTGTGTCTTTTTGTGGTTATTCCATAGGCCTGGAAGGAATCTTTGACTTTCTCCCATTTGAACAAACAACAGCTTCAAAGTTGTCGACAGTGTACTAAGCAAAGATATGAGAATATCCCCAGAAAGGAAAATACGCCACGACGAAGTTGTTTCCTGTATGTGAATGCTGAGATTTAAGGAAATATCGTGGCTCCCCTTTAACTCACAAATAAATTCTTTTTTTTTTTTTTGAACAATTGCTCCCTTTGAGATTTGCAAATAGTTCCACTAGTTTACATAGTTCTTTTTTCCTCCTTCCTTTTAAGTATACCTCTTAAGTAAGCAGACACTTTAACTTGCCTTCTTATTAGACAGCTTTTTCTTTATTGCCTTTTCATAGCACAGCTATCAAAAATAAGATAATACGCACGATCTGGGACCTAATCAGCTTTCTAGCTGAGTTTAAAGAGTCTAGAGGCTGTTTAAAGGTAGCTCTGGTTATGTGTGCGGGCTTTACTGCCTTGTTTGCTCGACCACATTTTGATGGAGAGGGTAATGTGTTTGCTAGATAAGGCAAAAGGGACCAGCCAAAAAAGCAAGGCTCTGTTTGATAAACCCTGACATATTTAGCCATTTTTCTCCCACATGAAAGGAAGCTTTAAAACTCTAAGAAAAATAGAGGTGTCCGTTCAAGCACGCTAATGTTGATCAAGACAAAAAAAAAAAAAAAAAAAAAAAAAAAAAGAAGTAAAGAAAATGGGCATCTTTTAGTCTATTAAATTAATTAGCTCCAGAGCTTATCACGCAGTTGAAAAGCTGGATAAAATACAAGTCTGTTTCTCGTTGTTGTCATTTGATGTGAAGGGTGAGTTCTTTAAGTCAGTGTACGTTGAAAAGACAGTTGTTCTGTTCAGCTTGACTTGCCCTGGTAGAAGGTTTGAACCCTGCATGAAGGAGCTCATTAAGCAAAGTTAAACTCTTATAAGGCCGATCAGCATGGACTTGGGATGAGAACTCAGTCTGAAATTAGGGTTGAACACACATGATGACAGTCTTTGTTAAGTGGCCTATAGCCTGAAAACAGATTTAAAAAGCCAGAATCAAAATATGTCACCGGACATTTACCGGTAACTAGAGGTCCACAGATAGCTTTACAATCTGGAATGATGTAAAAATGTTGGAGGTGAACTATTGATTATCTTATAATATTTTTCCTTTTCTAGAAAAAGTAAAGGAATAAAATGTCAGAAAGCTTCACAAAATAGAGCTGTCTCTCAAAATGAGACTTGAACTGGTGTAGGTATAAAAATAATTTGGGGCTCAATTTTTATCCCATGGTCACTTTCAGTTAATGTAGAAGGAAATATCAATCCTAAATCAATATCCTAGTAAAATTTTCTATTTTTTTTTTCTCTAGAAAAGACACTTTTCAGGGCGCCTCGGTGGCTCAGTCGGTTAAGCATCTGACTTCAGCTCGGGTCATGATGTCACAGTTCGTGGGTTCGAGCCCCGTGTCGGGCTCTGTGCTGACAGCTCGGAGTCTGGAGGCTGCTTGGGATTCTGTGTCTCCCTCTCTCTCTGCCCCTCCCCTGCTTGTGCGTGCGCACTCTCTCTCTCTCAAAAGTAAATAAACATTTTTAAAAATTAAAAAAAAAGAAAAGATATTTTTCTGATTTCTTGTTTTTCTAAATCACACGTATTTTTATTATTTTATTTTATTTTAAGATTTTATTTTTTTAAGTAATCCCTACACCTGAGGCAGAGCTCAGACTCACAATTCAGAGATCAAGAGTCATATGCTACACTGACTGAACCAGCCAGGTGCTCTGAGAGTGGGGTTTTTTTCTTGTTTGTTTTTTAAGATTTCATTTTTAGGTAATCTCTCCACCCAACCTGGTGCTTGAACTCACAACTTGGAGAGAAAGAGTCGCATGCTCTACTGACTGAATCAGCCAGGCGCCCCTATAGAACGTTATAAAATATAATCACTTGAATTTTTAGAACTGTGTTTCTTCTATATATTAATCATTTTAAACATTTTTTATGGCTTAGTGTTAATAATCTCTATGAGTGTAGATTTTTAGATGAATTTAATGTCAACTAGGGATTAATGTGAATTAATTAAATTGACTGTATCTTCTTTAATGAGAAAGAAAGGATTTAGTTTTAATACTGATGATCTTAATAAAGCTTCTCTCTACTTATCTGTATTTTCTCAACATTAGGAATTATTTTTATTAGAAGGTGAATTAATTTAATAACGGCAGAGTGGGAAAACTTGAAATAAATCAAGTGATTGCAAACTGACTTTGCTATTGTACTTGAGGCTGTGTAATCAAACCGAATAACTTTCAATTAGGAAAGACCCAATTTGTTGAAGCCACTTAAAAATAAAAACATAAATTGGAGTCCACGTTTATTTGTCTTTTGAAACAGCCATCCAACAGAATTTGAAACAATATCTACAACAGAAGGTAAACGAGCATTTAACACACCTGACTCCACTCGGTAAATTATAAGAAAAAAAATCACATGTTACAAACGCATCTCCAGTAGAATCATTGTCCCTAAGGATGCAGTACCATGAAATAAAATCCTAGCAGAAATCTGTGGGTCTCTGAGCTCCTGGGTGACTTGGTTAAACGACTGCCAGTTGATTTCGGCTCAGCTCATGAGCTCACAGTTGGTGGGATCGAGCCCCGTGTCGGGGTCTGTGCTGACAGCATGGGACCTGTTTGGGATTCTCTCTCTCTCTCTCTCTCTCTATTTCTCTGCCTGTCTCCCACTTGCGCTTTCTCTCTCTCTCTCAAATAATACATAATTGAACTTAAAAAAAAAAAAAGAAATCTTGGAGCTCTCTGAAATTAACTCATGGCTAAGTGACAAAGACACATGGAACTCCAAGCACATATCTGAAGTGCGTAGGTTTTATGACGCCTGTTGTACAAGGTGAGACGAATGGTTGTTGAGCACGTTAGACCACTGTGTAGCTCTTCTGTATTTTGGGGAGCATTCATTGGACTTATAGGCTACAGTTCTTTTTTTAAATTAAGTTTTCACTTATGTGTTGTTTTTAATATTTTACTTATTTTTGATAGAGACAGAGCACAAGTGGGGGAGGGGCAGAGAAAGGGAGACACAGAGTCTGAAGCAGGCTCCGGGCTCTGAGCTGTCAGCACAGAGCCCGAGGCGCCGCTCAAACTCATGGACCGTGAGATCGTGACCTGAGCCGAAGTCAGTTGCTCAACTGACTGAGGCACCCAGGCGCCCCTTATCCTTCCCCTTATTCTATTGAGACTGTTGTCTTGCGCTTAAGGGCCCGACAAGCTCATTCCCAACGGCCTGCGCTTACAGATGGACGCATGTGATGGATGATGCGTTCTGCAGGCTGATGCTGGCGTCTTCCAGGGTGCATCCCCCAGCCAGTCAGACCTGAGGCTGCGTTTAAAACAAATGACGCGCTGATATGCTTACTCACTTTAAACCTGACAATATAGTGTTCTAGATCAGGAAGCTCCCAGTTTAAAACATTCCATGCCCAGATCTGGCTACCAAGTGGTGCCAGGCCGTTGTAGCTTTGGCCCCCGTTCTGGCTTTGCCAGGGAAAGAGTGGGTAATAGAATTCACTTCTCTGTCTTGTTGAGAATGCGAGAGAAGGGATCCAAAGTCCCTAGCTCTGCGTCTGATACAGAAGATCTTCATAGGGGACGAATCTCATCATTACTCCCGAGGATGATGACTGTAATGGATGTCAGTTCCGAAATAAAATAAAGATCAGTTGAGACATTGTTGGGGTGGGATGTGCTAAATGTCCTAGTAGAGCTTTCAAAGGGGATCGAGTAGGAAACAGGCACTGCAGGTGGTGGACTTCAGTATAAAAAAGTGGACTCAGTATAAAAAAGAACTTTCCAATAATTCGATTGGCTTGTAAACATTTTAAAAAATGACCATCCTGGGGCGCCTGGGTGGCTCAGTCGGTTGAGTGTCCGACTTCGGCTCAGGTCATGATCTCACGGTTCGTGAGTTCAAGCCCCACATCGGACTCGATGCTGACAGCTCAGAGCCTGGAACCTGCTTCAGATGCTGTGTCTTCCTCTTTCTCTGCCCCTCCCCCGTTCGTGCTCCGTCTCTCTCTCTCTCTCTCTCTCTCTCTCTGCAAAATAAATAAACATTAAAAAAATTAAGTAAATAAATAAAAGTGACCATCCCATCTGTCTGGGGTGGCAGAGAGTAGATAATTGTGTTAGTTGGGGTTGAACAAATCAGTGTTTCCTAAACCTGGTTGCATGAAATGGAATCACCTGGGAAGCTTTAAAAATCCACATTTTACAGATACATGAGAAACCTCTTCCCGCACAAACACAAGCATACCATTTCCAAGCGTAATTGCTGCTATTTGTTAGAAATGACACACTTTGACTATGTAAAACCGAGACAAGATGCCGCCCGTGCGAGAACAAAACTGTTTGCTTCTTAGATGGTTTCCTGCGAAACTCAGCAAATTACACCGTGCCTCCCTTTTCCAAATAACATTCTGGAGAACTCTCATGAATGTAAACATCAAGGACAGCCACAAAGGAAGAAGATACAGAACCACAACACAGAGAGCATCCCTGAGCCAGGGTTTGGTTCCAAGTTCTTTTTTTCTGTTAATAAATGATATTGTAATGGTAGCTCCCATTTATAGAAGACATTATCCTGTTCCTAAATTGCTAGCTGAATGTTCCTAAACTCTCTGACACGAGCTTTACTTTCCCGATTGGGGGGATGGGAGCGTGGAGCCAGATCGGGACTGATCATTCCAAATGCACACGGGGGCATGAAGGGGACTGTAGGTGGGTTGTGGGGACCAGGTGTGGTCATGGAGAGCAGTGGGGACCATAGCAACACGGACGGCATGGACCTTTTCTAAAGAGGGGTGCCACTGTTTGACCCCTTGTTAAATGTGACCTTGTGGAAAGACAGATTCAATTTTATCACAGGTTTTGATTTTTCAAGACAGCCTAGTAATTCCAAACTTCAAAATGTGAAGGTGGCCATTTAAAATATCATTTCGCAGTTCCAGACGGAGAATCCTGGAGGCTGGATCCGGCCTATGGGTCACTGGTGCTTATTCTATCTGGACCGGCTGATGGCTATGGGTGCCTTCCATCATGAGTATTTTCCAGCAGCATTTCTCAAACTTTGATGTGCATAAGAATCGCCTGGAGGGCTTGTTAAATCACAGACTTCTGGGTTTCATAGTAAGCGACTCTGATTGGGATTTCTTGCAAGTTCTCCGTTGGTACTGAGACCGACATTTGCCCGTGACTGTGTAAGCCAGGACTCGGTCATAGTCCTGCCCCCTTTGGCTTGGTTATTGTTGGGTATTCATTTGATCAATTCAGGGAGTCTCCCTGACTCCTCTTGTTCTGCTTCTCCTGTCTCCCTCCCTCCCAGTATCAAGGTGACACCTTCGGAAAGGTTGTAGCTGGCACTTTTGCATTAGGGCAGGGGAAGCAGTGCAGTATTAATGTGCTTAGATTCAGTCCGGTTAACTTGGCAGGAAATGCTGGATCCCGTTCACTTATTGTTATTGTTCGTAAACATTCGGTAAGCTTAAGGTGTACAACATGTTGATTTGATACAACATGTATATTGCAACATGATTCCCACTGTAGTGTTAGCTAACACCTCTCTCGTGTCACATAATTGTCGTTTCTCTTGTGGTGAGGACATTTGAGAATCTAGTTTCTTAGCAACTTTCAAGTATGTCATACAGTATTGTTAACTATAATCATGCTGTACATTAGATCTTCCGAACTTATTCATCAGACCACACATTTATACCCTTTGTCTAACATTTGCCCATTTCCCCTGCCTCCCAGCTTCCGGTAACTATCATTCCGATCTCTGTGTCTATGAGCTAGGGTTTTTTTTGTTGTTGTTGTTTTGTTTTAGATTCCACAGATTCCACATCTAAGTGATATCATACAGTATTTGTCCTTTTCTATCGGATTCATCTCACTTAGCATAATCCCTTCAATGTCCATGTTGTCTCAAATGGTAGGATTTACTTCTTTTTCATGGCAGAATAATATTCCAGTGTGTGTGTG